GTTGCTCCTTGTGTATGCTCTGACGGGGGAATCAAACCCGCAACCTTGGTACTGGGACAACACTCTAACCCACTGAGCGGTGTACCCTGCCAGGATGAGGTTTGAGCACCTTCAAAGATGGACCAGGCCTCTTGAGCTCACTACACCACTATCATCACAGGGTCAGGGGCGGGTAGGGTAACTCAGTGCCCCGCAGCGTCAGGCAGAGGAAGGTGGTATAACAGGGTCAGAAGCAGGAATAAGAAAGGCTTCAGGCTGGAGTGGTGGGGAGGGGATTTACTGAGAACCAGCCAGGGAGGGATAATAATTTATTTTAATTATTATTTACTGGGCAAAAATAAAGGATAAACTTAATTTCTACCTTGAGATGCTTTTGGCAGAGAAGTTACTCTGTCACAGCATTGTTGACGAGGAGGATTTGTGGGAAATTTTTTAATTCTTCCAATGAGAGAAGAAACATAAGTTCATTCAATAATTATCACATTTCCCAAAACCTTGGAAACTGATCATTGATATTTCAAATTAGTTATAATAAACTCCTCTTATGTACAACAAATTTGGTTAATTTTTCATTTGTTACTATTATACTTCTTAGATCTAAAAACTAATCCAGTCTTTTAAAAAATATTTACTCATCTTTATTTTCCCATTGTTTCTTATTTTTAAAGATTTTTATTTATTTATTTTTAGACGGAGGGGAAGGGATGGAGAAAGAGAGGGAGAGCAACATCAATGTGTGGTTGCCTCTTGCATTCCCCTTACTGGGGACCTGGCCTGGAACCCAGGCATGTGCCCTGACTGGGAATCGAACCTGTGACCCTTTGGTTTGCAGGCTGGCACTCAATCCACTGAGCCACACCAGCCAGGGCTAATCCAGTTTTTTGAAAATACTATGAGCAAATCAAAATTAAATTCAACTAGTGGACACCATTTGACAGTGTAGAAGGGACTAGCGCTTGCCCACAAAACTTCAGTTTACCGTTTATATCTGTTGACTAGTATTTACCATGGCTCTTTTAAACTGTCTGGAGAGTAGAGCCCCTTAGTAACTAATTTGAGATTTGGGTTTTGTTTGTTTGTTTTGTTTTGCAGCAGTAGACCTGATACTAACTGGTAGAACAGAGATCAAATCACCTTTTCAGGTGTAAATCCTTCATAGATAGAAATATACTTCCAAGAGAGACTATAGCTGACTTCCAGGTTCCATTTTTGTTTTCATCAAAAGCAGCAGTGTTTACCTTTAGAAAGACCTATGAAACCTGTTTTAAATTGATGATTATGATTGGGGACATAACCTTGAGTTACACCAGTAGTTGGAAAACAGATGAGAAAACAAAAACCAGCATATGCCAGTGAAACCTCTACTTCTGTCTTCAGTTTCTCAATTGCATCTGTTTCCCACATCCAAGCCCTATTGAATCTGCCCCTGAGTCATCTTCAACCTGTTCTTTTTTTGTCCATTTCCATTGTTTATGTTCAGTTGTTGTCATCCCTTCCTGAAAGGTTCACTTCCCTTGGATCCAGTTTTTTGTTGTTGTTGTCATTAATTTTTCCTCTAAAACATAGCTCTCATCCTGTCATTTTCCATCTTAAATTTTTTAGAACCCAGAGCTGTCTACAGGAGAGATCAACACTAGTAGCTACCCAGCCAAGGTCTGCCCACAGTGCTGTTTTATTTAGCCTATACAGGGCTTTTTGTTTTATTGAGCTGACATTTAAAAATCGAGAGATTTTACATAAAAATCTGAGTTTTGGACTTTTCTTGAAAAACTGGAAGATCTGACAACCCTGGGCCACACACAGCAGTCAGCTGGAGCTGAATAGTTAAAGGAGGGGGACATCGCTGCATAGCCCCATTTCATTCAGTGCCTGGTACTGGTTACCATTCAGCCCTTTAGTAGAACATAGAGGCTGGCACCTGCCTTCTTGGTTCATTTAAGGAACCTAAGACCCCTGTAGGCAATTTTCCACGCTGTTCAATTTGCTTACCAAATTTTGGCCATCTCAGTCCGTATCCTAGTTGTCTCTTAAAATAGTCTAGCCATTGTATATCTAGTCAGATATACATGAATATCTTCTTATGCATATAATGGTCCTCTTGCCCCTCTTAAACTGAAGCCTTCAACACAACTATAGATTTCCCACCTAAACCCTAGGCTGCAAGCTCTGTGAGGGCATATTCCTGACATGTTGATCTCCTGGGCTTTTCCTGAGGCCTCGTGGTCTTTTATTCCTCTTTGCCTTTGGATATACTATTTCTGCTTCCTGAAATGTCTGTCTTCATCTTTCCATTAGTTCCTGTACATACCAAACTCCTATTTGAACTTCTGCTTAGCCTTTAGAGTTTGTCTATTATTACCGTCTCTGTAAATCCTTTTCTAACACATCCAGACAGAATAAATTCTCTTTGTTTCAGTGCTCCCTTAACATTTGGTATATATACCTCTTTTTTTCCTCCCAATACTTACACATTGTGTCATCAAGAATGTGAGCAACGCCCTGGCTGGTGTGGCTCGGTGGATTGAGTGCTAGCCTATGATCCAAAAGGTCACTGGTTTGATTCCCAGTCAGGGCACATGCCTGGGTTGCAGGCCAGGTTCCCAAGAGGGGTCGCATGAGAAGCAACCACACATTGATGTTTCTCTCCCTTGCTTTCTCTCTCCCTTCCCCTCTCTAACCATAAATAAATAAAATCTTTAAAAAAAAAGAAAAAGAATGTGAGCAACTTGAGGACAGGAACTATATCTTATTCTTTGTAGCTCTAGCATCTAAAGCCTAACACCTTGATACTAAAAAAAAGAAAAAGGTTTATTGAATGAATTTGATAAAAATCAGACATATAATGGTTACATACTAAGCATTGATTAACTTTTTAAGAGTGACATATGTCCACAATACTCACAGTTAAAGATGTGGGGAAGCTGGTGATAAATAGCACCACTGGGCACAGTAAGTTTACTGCCTTGGAGTGACCGGTTTCTGTTCTAATATGTCCCATGGTTTTTTCATATAACTCATCAATTACTCTTTGTTGCTAGTTTCCCAGGCTTCTAAATCTCACATCTTTTCTTTTTCCAAACTTAGCTAGTCACATGATGTTTCTTGTTTTATTCACAGAGGACTGGTTTTTAAGTTTGGCCGCACTGAAGACTTATGGCAGTGAAGATATCTGATTTACTACTACTGTACAGCAGCCCTGCATGGTTTTGTTGTTTTTGTTCTTTTTTTACTACTCCCAGTTTTTTGTAAAGCCATTTTCTAAACTTATTTCTGAGTGTAGCCTCCGCTTAAATTTGTGTGATACTAAAATCATGAGAGATCCCTATTTAAATAACAACAAAAATCTATTGTGGTATGCATTTGATTAACTTATAAAATGTTAAAAGTATTTCACATGAGTAATTTTTATTGTTTTATCATGGTATAATTTGTAAAAATAAAAATAAATTACAAAAGAAATTGTGGATATACCTCATATGAGTATTTGTCATATTCAAAGTTCAAAATGCAATTAAAGTGCTCTGAAGGCATGTGTTTATTAAAATGTGGGCTCTTCTTTGTCAAATGTTAAGTGAAACATAAACATTTTCTTGTTTTTAAAAACTATTCAGTGGTCAGGATTCTTTTTTTTAATTGTTTACACTATTAAAGATGTTAGTGGTCAGAATTCTTTCTCACTATACGTTGAGTTTGGTATATATAGTTGTGCCAAAAATTCTGAAAACATTTCAGTGTAGGTAGCTATTAAGGGTCTCCCAGGAGGTGAATGAGCATGGCGGGAGAGAATAACTCCTGATCCAGCCACCAGGCTCCTCAAACTGTCCTTTCTGTGCCTCTGATCCGGTGGGGTGGGGGTGGGGAAGTTGGTAATAACTCAGCTGTGACACGTGGTTCTGGTGGGACGTGCGGTCACTCCACATCTACCATTGAAGGAAAGGAGAAAAGCGTAGGGAGTCCACACTATACTCAGGTGACAAATTTCGTTGTTGGTTTGCTAATAACGTTGGATTCCATGTTTCATCTTATCTCTGTACTGAACCACTAAGCTCAAAATAGACCAGCCAGGTCAGTTTTAATTACAAACATGAACTGCTGGGAATTCTCATAGCCTGTTCTTTGGAACTCTGCCGTCCCCCAGGCTTCCCACCTTGGTGAAATGGGAATTTTTTTTTTTTAAGGAACTGGCTAGCTATGGGATACATGTTCTTCAGAACGACAGCTTGAAATGTTTTCTTTCATAAAACTTACAATTAGCCCTTCATTAAACGCAAACTATCTTTCAGATGATTTACATCTCTTTTTCCATATCAACCATAGTTAGCTCCCCGTATATAGTATGTTTTGAACACGGCCTGGGCATCTAGATACTACTCGAAGAGATAACTATTGCTGTTACCCTTCAGCAAATCAGTCATGGTAAGTTTTTAGATCTGTAGGATGTGAGAATTGGAGGGGACCTTAGGGGGTGAAGTCTACCTCTTTTAACAGATGAGAGAACTCGGACTATGGAAATTTAGGTGATTTCCTTAAAGGGACGGAACTAGATTTTTAATGTTGAGGCAGTGTACCTCCACAACTGACCGTGGTACCTTTCCCCACAGTTAAATTCAGAATGCACTCAGGGAATAAGATCTACCTTGGAAATTGCTGGAATAAAAGCATGATGTCTGCAAGAACTAAATATAAATGAGTTTTTAATTTTTCCCTGCTTTTTATCTGCTCTGCTGGTGTAGACAAGAGTTAACTGGATAAGATACTTTATGAAGCATGAAAAAGAATCTAAGAATTGTCAGTAAAATTGAACCAAAACCTAAATTTTATATACTTGCACCCAAGAAAATACCCATAGCATCATTTTTAATGAAGCCAAAATATTTATTTAAAACTTACGAGTTTACCACTTAAACAAGTTTTCAGTTTTTTATTTTTAATAGCAAATCTATCTCTCACCATATTTTGTTATATGTGAGGAGATTGCAGTAATGAGTATTGCACACACACAAAAAAATGTGGGCAATGGAGGAAGGAAGCTCTCTTGGAACAGGCCTTGTTTTTCTTGGATGCTCTTGCTTAAAATCCAACAGCCAAATGAGGAAACTGTAAAAGCAAAGCAAACATTTTTATTACAGATGAAACCTCTACTCAAAATTTGTATACACATTGATTCTGGCTTGATCTTTTGAAATGTATGTTGACCAACATGTCTCAAAATCTGAACTGAAAGAGCCTCTAGACAGATCTCGTTTTGTATAGTTCTTCATATAGATTGTTACTAAATAGCCACCTGGCTTTATTTGAACACCTCTGGTGACAATGGACTCAACTACCATTTAAAGGAGTTCATTCCATTTTCCAGGCAGTTCAAATTGTTAATTTACACCACATTACCCACTGGGCCTAGGTACAGTCTTTGGAAAAGTATAGAAAAAAATCTTTTTTTCTTCTGCATGACAGTTATTCTAAGTGTTTGAAGATTGTTCTTAGGTCTCCTTTGGATCTTCTGCAAGTTGAATATATCCTGAATTCTTCAGTTACGCCGTAGTACAACATAGCTGCTCATTGAGTTGTTTGGACTACAGAATTCTAGAATTGAAACTCAGAGTAGCTAACAGATGTGGGGTGCTTTCTATGGGTCACTGCTAACATTTCACCCAACTAGAGGTGGCAGAACCTAGATCTGCCTGAATCCAGAATGCAGAATTTGATCTCATTTTACAAATAAGGAAACAGAGTCCCAGAGAAGTGGCTTGCCTGAGGGCACCAGCCTACCAGGGGTGAGCTGGGTAGGACTAGAATTCAGATCTGCCTCCCAGAACAGTGCTGTGCATTGGGCCACTCCGAGAGAGAAGGAGCCATTGGCAGGCCCCTCATCTGTTTTCCTACTCTGCCTTAAGAGTGAGCTCTCACTTTGGTTGAACAAGCATATGTTGGACGCTTACTGTGTGTAGAACATTTATTTTCAATCAGAAGCAGGGGCGACACCAGGGTGACAAGGCTTGGTTTTGAGAATTTTGCATAAAACAGCAGGAGACACTCTTAACACATTTGTCACTTTTTTTGTGTGTGCCAAAACAGTGGTGGTGTTTATATTTCTTGGCAATAACATTATTTTTAAAAAACTGCAAATACTTATTCAGATGGAGGATCTTCAGCACATTCAGAATCCATCTCATGTGCTTCATCACATCATTGTACTCAACTCTAGAACACTCATTTTACTGCATAATCTTCCCCACAGAAACCTTAGGCAGCTTCCAGCTGCCCGCAGGATGCCTCAAGGAGCTCCTGCCCAACTTTCATCCTTTTCACCCACTCCCTGCTGAGCTAGGTTGCTTCATGCCTCTCCTGTTCTTGCTCTCAACATTCCTCTGGCAATGCCTTTGGCTTCGTGCCGGTTGGCCAAATCCAGCGTGACTCCAAGTTCCATTTTCTCTGACCTCCCCAAACTCATGACCTCTCCCTCCTCTAATTCTTCCAGCAGCTGCTGCCAGGATCACTCTTAGTACTTAATAGATCGAGCTGTGCACATGTAAAGAGCCAGTCCTCGAAAGTAGTTAAAGCGCTAGTTTCTCTACTTATACCCCCACGCAATACTCAGAGCAGAGGCTTATCCATGGCGGTCCTGCAAAAAAGGGTTTCTCTCTTCAGAAAAGGTAACTGTGGAAATAATTTTAATAAGTGGGCATCAGGGGTCCTTGTGCTTCAGAAGGCAAGGTCCATGGTTTATTAAATTGAAATAAAGAGTTGAAGGAATCAATTTATTCTCTTAGTGAAAGCACATGAAAAGTTGTGTTAGAAATTGCATTTTTGTAAGTCAGTACATGAGTTAGGATCATCTGTAATCTACAGGAAGATGGAATTGATGCACGCAGCTCCTTGAGACCTATAACTTTACACAGCTTTGTCTCTCCAGCTCTTCATATGAGGTCTCTGTCACATTTTAGGTAATACCTTTAATGGAATAAGTGAATGAACAAGTGCATCTTACCAACACCATCTAAGGATGAGATGGGTGCCCCATCCTAGCGAGTGCCAGGCATGGCCTGGACAACCAGGAACAGGTGTGTTCCTTCCACCCCCGGAAGAAGTCTGGTTTTATAAAATGCAATAAGTGCATTCAGTAAAGTTTAAGTGTGTTTCTGGGTGGTTTACAAAACAAAAAACAAACAAACAAACACACACCCTGGATTTATCAGCTTTGGAAGTTTGAAATTCTTGCCTCTTCAATGGATATTTGGCTTTTCAAGTGCAAGCTATAACTGTTATACTGCTGAATAAATGCTTATACTCAGCTGTAAGAAAGGAAATCAGAATATTGGGGGGAGAAATAGTTCTCCAGTAGGTGTCCCCCACCACACACACACTGTGTCCTGGGAGCCAAATGGACACCAATTCAAATTCCTCCCATTCCACTTCCTACCTCTGTCATTTAAGACATTTAGTTACTCCTCATCTCTAAGATGGAAACACTCTTGTGCAGGGTTGTTACAAAGATAAAATCAGATAATGTTAAAAGCATCTGGCACAAAATTGGAAACAGTAGGCTTGCAACAACAACAACAAAAAGATAGCTGTTATGGTTACGCTTAAATGTTCCTTTGTGTTTGGCTAAATACCTAGTAATAAACTTTCACATTCACATGGTGGTTTGCAATTTAGCAAATGTATTGTAGTTATAGATGTTATTATCTCCTTTGATTTTCAAACAACCCAATGAGGTAGAACAAAGATTACTATTCTTATTTTACCAGTGAGAGAAGGTGAGGAACTTGCCTCCATGATACCTTGTAGAGCAGTGACTAGAATCCAGGACTTCTCATATCTGGTATGCATTCCGATGCTGCAGTGGCTAGTGTTAGGTGGGGTGCCCTGGATTTCTTTCATTTATGCAGCAAATATGTATTGTAACTCAAGTAACTGAGCTGGGTACTTGTCCTGATTGTGGTATTCCTGGTTGATTAGCAGACTGCTTGGTATTATGTAATAGTTGCCCAATAAATACTTATGGAATGAATGGGTGGATTAAACCAGTTTTCTGACTCCTTTCACTAAATTACCCTCCTTCTGCTAAAAGGGTAAGAACACTTGCAGGGCATTGGAAGAGACTGGCTGTTGGGAAAAGCCAAGAACAAATGACTGTAGAGAGAAGCTGGTGCAAGATGAGGCAGGTTACACACAACGTGAATGACTGTCAGAATAATGCTGAGTGAAAGAAGCCAGATGAAGAGTATATACCTTATGGTTCCATTTATATAAATTTATAGAAAACGCATACTGGTCTATCGAGGTGGAAAGCAGGTCAGTGGTTGCCTGGGGGTGGGATGGGGTGGGGTAGAAATGGGGTAGTTCCAAAGAGGCAGGAGAAAATAACTGGTAGTGATGGATATTTGTTATCTTGATTGTCATGATGGTTTTCGTGGGTGTAGAACTGATTTAAATGTATCAAGTTGTAGACTTTAAATATGTGTAGTTAATTGCCTTTTATACCACGTAAAGCTCTTTGGAAAAGAAGAAGAGGAAGGAGACAAAGGAGGAGAGAAGGGGCAGGCTCTCTCTGTTTTGCCCCCACAGACAAAAATGTCAAGGGCCATAATAAAGGTGGTTCACTGTCCCTTTAGTGTTCAGTGTTAGCAGCATGCGGATGGAGCAAGGATATGCCCGGGACTCTGAAGGCCTGGTCTCAGGTCTTGCCTCTGCCACTCACCAAGTATGATGCTGGGCATTAGCTTGACCTCTGTTGACCAAATTAACTTCCCATTTGTAACAGGCAACATAATAGATCCCTGCTTGTCCAGCCAACCTTGGCTTGGATCGGGAGATTACCTAAAGGGACATCAGAATGCTTTATGAACTATGTGTGTAGGTCAAAGAAAGGAGGGCAGTGGGGTGACAGTGTCTAGCCCAGTCATGACAACAAATGCAGCAACGTAACACAGACACTCTCAGTAGCAGGTGACTTGTTTGAGCTCTATGTCTCTTGGCTAAATGACCCCAGACTTCTGTGCTACAAGTTTTCTTGTGTCCAACGGCTATAATGTAGAAGAGTTGTTTTAGATTCCGTTCTGCTACTCGATCAGTGTGAGAACTTGTCTCCACTCTGAGCATCTGTCAAATGAGGAGATTATACTTGCTGACCTTTGAGGTCCTTTGGCTCTTGCATTCGGGATTGAAGCACGTTTACATCAAACTCTTTGCCCACTTCGATGACTCCAGGTGGAGAGAAGTGTGTCAAGAGTCAGTTGTCTTGTCCCTGGCCTTCAGTGACTCTGAGGCATCAGGGAAACGGTAACCTTTGCTGCCTCCCTCCCCTCCGCTCCCCTCCTACACACACATGCACATCACGGATTTGCCTCTCCTTCCATGCTCTTTACTTCCTTCTCATTTGTTTTTATCTTACTCTCATAAACACCAAATTAACATGTATGCCCGGATATCTTTCTACGTTCATTCACTCAAAATCTATGACATTAATAGGTTAAAAAATTCTTACCTCCCAGAAAGCTTGGTCATCAAAATATTTAGCCACATGAGGTGCTCTCCATATTTTGAGGTTTAAGAGTAAACCTGTTTAAATTCATAAGTAAATGTTAAACATTTGGAGCACAGCATTTGTCATCTCAAAATTAATACAAATATCATATGTCTACTATGGTATCTGAACAGAACTCTCACTTTCTTCCATGGCCAGGAGACAGACAAACTGAAGCACTGTTCTTCCTGGACTAGCTTAATTAATTCCATAGACATCTTTTAACAGGAACTGGCCAGAACAATTATTTCCAAAAGATTAAGGTTATACTGAGAGGTATAGGATAACAATCGATCTGACATGCTTCCCAAGATGGAATGGAAAGGTCCTATCAGACAATGTCCCCACTTAAAATCTTCTCCGTTTAAAACGCAGGAACTACCATGGAGAGCGACTCAATGTAGGCACCCTTGTAGGTCCAATAAACTCCTGCCAACTGCAGCTTAAGATTCCACTTGTGTAGTTAGGAAAGTAGTTTATAACAATTTGCTTTTGTGCCTGTCCTTTTCACCTGTCCAGCCTCTGCTTGGTCCTATGCATCCTCCTAGCTGCACAAAGTCTGCAAAATTTCCCAGGAGACATGAAAGGAAAATTTACCTTTCACATGAAACAGGGAAATGCCATTCATAGATTTATCTGTGTATTTTTTAATCTTTTTTAAAATTCTATTTATTTATTTTTAGAGAGAGAGGGCAAGGGAGATAGAAAGAGAGGGAGAGAAACATCAATGTGTGGTTGCCTCTTGTGTGCTCCCAACTGGGGACCAGGCCCACAACCCAGGCATGTGCCCTGACTGGGAATCAAATCAGTGACCCTTTGGTTCACAGGCTGGCACTAAATCCACTGAGCCACACCAGCCAGGGCTTATCTGTGTATTTTTAATGATGAGTGGTTCCAATGTATTCAATAGTAAGGTTAACAAGAGTAGGTATGTTCATATTCATATTTCCTTTTATTGTGCATGTTTTTAACTGATATTGGCAGGTAAGGTGCAATTAGCTAGAATTACTCAGAAATGATCTCTATCACCTACATGAATTTTCCAGATAGATGAGGCTTACACATCCCTAATGAAAATCCATCTAAATACATGAACCCATATTGTATTTCTTGTCTTACGAATCACCACTGAACACATTTAGACTTTTTAAAACTTTGCTAGGAACATCAACTTATAAAATTGCTCTATAACGCAGAGAAGGTGTATAGCTGTGGAGGGCTGTTGGTCTGCTCTTCTGCAGCCCAAGATTTTTGTGTTTTCTTGTGTCTGATTTTAAGAATTTCTTTTCCTCTGTGAGGCTCTTCGCTTTCACTTCTAACTTACTAGGGTGCCTTACCTCTTGGAACGAACCCCGCCTTCAATCTGCTATTTCTAATGTTCCTGAACTGGAAACCCAACAACTATACTTGATGGGATTGTTCCTTAAATAGTATAGACAGACCTTGGATAATGGAGTCTCTTGACAAGTAAAATGCTTGGCTTTCATGAGGCAATTTGGTGCTATTTTGGCTGCTTGGGGCCACTTTCCCCTTCTGTTGTCCAAGTTCTTTTTAATCACCAGTTCCTTCACGTCCAAAGCAACATGTAAGGAGGAAAGCTCATTGGTTTTAACTCTTAAAGGAATAGTATAGATGCCATTTTCGCTCTTCTCTTAAGTATAAGGAATTCTCCACCCCTAGATCCTTTAGAAGACAGTGCAAGTCAGTGTCACTTTGGGAATACAGTGACTAATTTAGGTAAATGATGAAACAGCCCAGGTACAGGGTTGCCAGATAGAATACAAGATGCTCAGCTAATTTTGGATTTTTTAAAAATGACTAACTTATACTTTCATTTGCTAAATCTGACAGCCCTACCCAGGATAGAATGTAAACTTATGGAGGAAGGCAGTTTTTTCATTTGCTTTTTGTTTTTGCTTTTGTGTGTGTTCTTTATTTTTTTCTCTTTCTTGTTTTTTTCTTTGTTCATTCATCTGTTTTTAATTAATCACCTCAGACTCTGTCAAAGCTGAGGTCAAGTGATACATTAAGGTAATTTTAGACAATCTCACTCTCTAAAATTACCCAGGTAACTCCAAAAAGTACCTTCATACATATTTCAGAGCTGAAAGGAAGCCAAATGATTCGTTACCATAATCTTTTCCTTATGTAGAGAAGCCAGCTAAACCTAGAGAAAGTAAAGTGGTACGATGCCACTTTATTCTTGATGCCACTCTTGTTTGGCATCCACTCCCTGCTTAGGGACACAATATATGAGTGTCTAATCAAGAAAAGAGCTCACTTACAGAATAAAAGTCAACACTTCTGAACAGAATACATATTTTCACCTGGCATATAATGTTGGCAAATTAAGATTCTTTGCTGTTCTGCCATATTGCAGGAGCAAAAACATACTTCGATCCTCTAACGATCGCCAATGGCTTTCTCCCTTTCAGCGTGACCTGCCTCCTTGCTACTACTCTGTTCTCAACCCCTGCCGCCCTCCCTGTCACTCCATCCATGTCAGCCGCATTGACCTCCTTGTTGTTCCCCAAACATACAAAGTATGCTTCTGCCTCAGGGCCTTTGCACTTGATGATCCTTCTTGTGGACTGCTCTTCTCCACAATAAGGTCGTCATCGTATGTCTCCTTCCTTCTTTCCATTCAGGTCTCTGCTTAAAGGTCAACTTACTTGATAGGGCTTCCCTTACCACACTTCCAAAAGAACAGCCCACCCTCACACTGATTCTAGTTCCCTCAGCCTGATTTATTTCTCTTCATAGCACTTATACCATCTTACACAGTAAGCATTTATTTGTCTATTTATTATCAAATAGAATGTTAGCTCCAGGCGATCAGGGAATTGTTTTATTCATTGCGGTGTCCCTAGTGCCTAAGAATAGTGTCTGGCTCATAGTAGATATTGAATAAATATTTGTTGAACTAAATAACATTATGGATATCCTTGGGGAATATAATGTAAGCATTTTGGCATAGGGATTTCCTTGGCCTTCTGTACAAAATTGAATGAAATCACCAGCTCTGGTGTTAAGGGACTGCAATGCATTGCCACCACTCATTCCTCCTTGCAACCTCAGGACAGTCTCTTCCTTTCCCTGGCCCTCAGAGACCACACCTATTGCAGGTGACCCCTGAGGGCCTTTCCAATTCTAAAATGATGTGATTCTGTATTTGTTTGTTTTTTAATCAAAGTCTGAGCTTTGCCTCATTTGGCTGGAGCTGAGGAGGTTGGTTCAAAGGGGGCAGATGGGTTCGTACACATCCAGCCATGGGGCCGATGCTCTAGGAACTGGGCCTCGTGCCTGGGCAGTGGCGGGAGGGTGAGCTCACACTGACCTGTCAGGAGACCAGCTGCTAGACCCATGGCTATAGACAAGCTGAGTGCCCCAGTGCTGATGAGCTCCTGGTAGAACCTAGAAATGACAAAGCAAAGATAGTCACATTCAGGTATCAGGCTGCAGAGGTTGTGGGGACAAAAAGCACTACTTGCATGAGTAGTGACACTGTCAAGAACGGCCATCAAGAAAAAAAGTATCCTCTTTCTGGTGGTACATTTCCCTGTCATTCTCCCGCGAAGCCACGCTGACTGACATGAAGGAGGGGAAGGGGGAATTCCAAGCCCCTCTTTGGCTTACTTTAATCCTCAGAGCCCGTGGATAATGAACCGGACTAGGAGTTAGAAAAGCCAAGTACAAGTCCCAGTTCTGTCACTAGTTGCGTGACCCTGGGAAAGTCATTTAACATCTCAGAGTCCAGTGTTTCCTCATTAGGCAATTGAAGATCAAGTCAAGGAGGGGTACAGTTTGGTTATCAGATCCATCTTCCCTGCCCTCCCCCGCTTGAACATGCTTCTCTGTTCACTCGCCTTTAAGGCAACGCCAGGACTTCACTTGAAATAATTAAGCGGACCTGGGAGGACATTTACATGACTTTGCAGTAGGCAAAGATTTCTTAAATAGGACATACAAGAGCTAAACATAAAGAGAACAATTATAAATTGGACTGTATTAAAATTAAGAACTGTTCATCCAAAGACACCAGTAAGAAAGTGAAAGGTAACCCACAAAGTAGAAGAAGGTATTCACAATACATATATCTGACACAGGATCTATATTCAGAACATATAAGGAATTCCTACAAATCAGTAAGAAAAAGACAAAATGACACAATAGAAAAATGGGCAGAAAAATTTGAATAAACATTTCAAAAGAAAAAAAATACTCAAAGGTCCTAAAAGCACATGGAAAGTGCTCCACTTAATCATTAGGGAAATTAAAATTCAAACACTAAGTTTGATGGTTTATGGCTAACATATAAAGGAAGGAAAATATGGAGTGTGAGAGAATATATGGGATAAAGGGAACTCTTGTGTATAGATTGGCTCAAACCACAAGTGGAAAACTGGTAGTATCCACTAAAGTGGATATATCAATACTGTATGATCCAAGAATTTTTCTTCTAGGTATATATTCCCTAGAAGTTCTATCTGTATGTTCCCCCAAAAAGTGTTAGAATGTTTATAGCAGCAATACTAGAATGTTCATAATAGTTCCAAACTAGAAACTACCCAAATGGTCATCAATAATGGATCAATAAATTGTGTTGTATTCACACAATGGAACACTTATTTTAACTGTGTTTTCTTAGATTCTGTAATTTGTCTACTTAGTACTCATTTTTCAATCACAGTTTACATTCAATGTTATTTTATATTAGTTTCAGATGGATAGCATAGAGGTTGGGCAGTCATATACTTTACAAAGTGATGCCCCTGACATTAGAATTTGCATTTCTAACTAATTCCCAGTTGATGCTGATGCTGTTGAAAGCCACTGCTCTGGGCGAGCCACAGAATCACAGAACTTGGGACCTAAAAGGACAAGTGGTCCAGATGTTGCAGGTTGGCAACGCATGAGCAGAATTTGGCTTACACCATCTATCTAATGAATTTGAATCTTTTGCCAACACTTTGGGAGAGTACCTCACATTCTCCTGTATTAACTTATTAAATCCTCTTAACCACATGGTTCCTGACCTGGGCAGCCTCCAACAACCCTGTGAGAGGAAGTATTATCATTATCTTCATTTACAACTGGGTGACTGAGGCTCGGAGAAGTTAGGCAGCATGCCCAGCTAGTAAGAGGTCAAGACAAGTCTGACTTCACGGCACACTCTTCACCATGACCTACACCATCAGAGATTGAAAAATGGACTCAGCTGGCTTAGGCCCGATTCCCCTGCTCCATGTGCTTTTGGAGAGCCTCAAGACTATCTGCCTGTGTCTTGCACCTAGGCTTCCCCCTTTGGAAAGAAGTGGCCTGAAGAGGTGGTGACTCTATGCAAGTTAGGGGCTGGGCAGAATTTCTGAATAATATTGGCCAACAAATACTCAGGAGACTGTGGTCTCCTGAGTACCTAGCCCTGAACACATGCACTCCAGCTAAGGGCTCTGGGCACATTTTGTCCTGAGTTAGTTGGGGGAATTAAGAGGGTGAGGCAAGTGACTCACATGAAAGTTTTGGTCCAGTTTGCATCAAGTATCAGGATGATGTTGGTGATCCCTCCAAGCAGACCCGGCAAGCCAAAGGTGTAGAGCACACCGCTAGTGTCATGGATGTTCAGCATGCGGCCAAAACACAACTGGGGACAAATGTTATTATAAGCCAATGTACATGTGAGACTGGCATTTCCTACCTACCCTTTTCACAGATCCTTGGCATCCAGGGCCACCAAAAAGGGATGGGCTTTTGGGCTTACCAAAACACACACACACACACACACACACACACACACCCCACTTCTCAGATTTGACTGTGCGCTCACATCACCTGGGGAGCTTGTTAAACTACAGAGTCAGATTTAGTCGTTCTGGGGCCCGAGATTCTGCATTTCCAACAAAGTCCAAGGAATGCCAGTGCTGTTGACCCACAGACCACACTTTGAGAAGCAAGAATCTAGCCCAGGTACTACTCACATTTTGGGCTATAATTCTGTGATGTGAGAGGGCTGTCCTGTGCATTATCAGATGTTTAGCAGCATCTTTGGCCTGTACCCTCTAGATGCCAGTAGCATCCCCAATCCAGTGTGTCAACCAAGAATGTCTCCAGATATTGTCAGATGTCCCTGGGAGCTGATGGAGACCTACTGGTCTAGTCCCAACTTAACTGCTATCCCAAAGACAACATGGCTGATTCGAATGAAAATCAGAAGAAAAGAATCTGACCACACCTTCAGACTCCCATTCAGTGATCCTCCACCTCACCACTTAGCCTCCCAGATGGCTGTGAGCCCACAGATACAATTGAGAATTTGATTAGGCTAGTTCCTGCCTTAGGCTCCTCATTGTCTTCCAAATAAAATTCCAGACTCCTCAACTAGCTCAGGAGATGTACCTGAACACCTGCCATTTCTCAAGACTCTGGTCCCACCATTCTCCCAGGTGAACCCAGTACTTCAGCCATGACAACATCTTTCTGTTTCCTGGCTGGGCTCTTCTCACTGTTGAGTCTTTGAACACAATGTGCCTTCTCCCTGGAATACACTTCCCACTTTTTGACCTGACTGATGTTAGTTATCTGTCAGTGCTCAGCTGAGACATCCTCTGCTCTGGGAAGAATTTCCTGGCCCATCTCTGGTTGGCTTAGATGTGCTCCTGGAGCAGTTATCGCACTGAGTTGTGCTTATTTGTCCATTTTTTTTTCCATGCTACTATAGCTTGGGAAGTAGGATAAATGTTAAAACATATGTGATGAATGAATGCATTAATGAATGAATGAATGAGTGACTTACCCTTTAAAAAAAAAATTCTCACCCAAGGTCATGCTTATTGATTTTAGAAAGAGGAGAAGGGAGGGAGAGAGAGAAGGAGAGAAACATTGATGCAAGAGAAAAACATCAATCAGTCGCCCCAACAGGGGACTCAACCTGCAACCTAGGCAGGTGCCCTGACTGGGAATCAAACTCGCAATCTTTTGATTTATGGGACAAAGCTCCAAGTAACTGAACTACACCGGCCAGGGCTTGAATCATCTTTGACTCGTTCCCCCAGTGATACAGTCAAGGAAACCGAAGCACAGAAAATGATGGACTCTAAGCCTGATAATAACTTAGGCATTTTTTGCTGTGCGCTTCCCCCTTTCATTACAGGGCCTCAAAGCCAGAAGAGATAGAAGACATCTGTTCTCATTCCAAAGATGAAAAGCGGACTGTCCCATCTTTGCTCAAATCAAATTGTGGGTAAGTTCTTCCTGGAGTTGAAACTGCCTCCCTCAGTATATCCACTATCAATCAAATTTAACTTCCTGTGCCACCCAAAAGTGTATTCCTTTATTCTCCAGCAAGTCTTCAAACCCATGAAGATTTGTTGTTCCTAAACATTTCTGTTATAAGTGTGACATAAAAAATTGGCTATAATAAAATATTTTGGTATTATCTGTGCCTATTGAACATTGCAGGAAGAAAAATCTATCCGCTTAGAAGAAGAACTAAATAATCAGAAGTGGACATGACCTGGATTCTGGGTCCTGCCCATCTTTCTTCTGGGTGCTGCCCTTCCCACACCTGTTCTCATGGTTCATGGGCAGAAACCATATATGTACGACATGCCCCACCTCCCACCCCGGCCAAAGACGGGCACATGATCTAAGTTAGGCCAATGAGCCCCCTCTTCAAAGAATTTGGAATTAGGGCCAAGAGATGCTATCCAGCTGCTTTTGTGAAGACAGAGACTACATTCCACCACCCGGAATAGCAGTAGGAGAACAGAAAGGAAGTCTACAGAGACCATAAAGCAGATAGTCAGGTAAAACAAAGAAAGAAGATCAGGGATTTTTTGGGTTCCCCACAACATGCTCCCATCCCCGGTGTCAGCTATTCCTGAGTTCCCAGCAGCATTCCTGTCCTTGGGTTCCATGACATCCCAGGAGCCTTATAACAAACTCTCCCTTATGTGTGAGCAAGCTTGAATGGGTTTTGTGACTTGCTCCTCAGATCCTGACAAATGTACCATCCAAACTGGGTGGGTTCCTCCCCTGAGCTTTGAAGCCAAACGGAGAGAGTGCCAACACCTGTCTAATGCAGTCCATTGTACCATATGGTGGCCCACCGTGGTTCCAGGGTCCTTCTGGTCTAAGACAAAGCAAAGGGTGATAGTTGCCCAGCTCCTTACCGGCAGGCATTTGGCTCCCCCAATGGTGATCAGCGCAGCCATGAAGCCCAGCACCATGGCAAGCCAAGGGGAAGAAATCAGTTGACTCGGGGCACCCACAGCCACACCTCCTGCCAGCACTGCATTGTGGATATGAGTCTGCAAAGAAAAAGCATGTGGGTGAATGAAGTGAGGCACAGAGAGGACAGCATCTTGCCCAAAGTTCCTCATCAAACTGGCAGTCAGGCAGCACTCTAATGTCCTCCCTGCTTCACTGACCCTGAAACCACCCACTCCCCTCCGTCCGGACTACCCGGCCTTTGTCATTGGTTTTACCTCACCCCACTTCTCAGGCTCAGGGAGCAGTCGCCCTGACTGCGAGGCATTTAGGGAATCAGCTTGAGGGGATAATTACTCAGCATTCGGCCACCCTCACACTCATTAGTGATGTGTTCTTGGGCACTGGACAGCCCAGTGCTTCAACTTTCCTCCAGAAGAATGGGGTTCTGATTATACCTGCTTAATGCAGGTTATTGTAAGGAGTAAATGAGTTACCACACATAAAACCCTTAACCCAGAGCCTGATGTGGAATGCAAGTTAACACTCAGTAAATAAAAGCCTTTGTTATTGTTTTTTCTTTGGCTACTTCATGCCTATGCCACCCTGTATGACTGGACCCAGCAAACTGGGTGCAAAAGCGCATCTCTGCTATGTCCTTCACTCCTCTAGAACTGGGCTTTGCCTTCTCTTACACTTCTTACCCCTGCGCCTCTCAACAATAACCAGGTCTAGGAGCTCTGGGCCCTCAGACCAGCCTCTGGGCTTCCCTGCTCTGATGGCCAAACCTGCCTCCCAGGATGACCCCACTTCGTCTGATCCTAGACTCCTTGTCACCGTGGAGCTCAATTGTGGGGACACCTACTCCTCCTTAGTACTCTTAACCTGCCATGCATGGCCACATTCTCTCTATTTCAGGCCCCACTGTCTGTCTAGACTTTTCCCTACTACTCTGGCTGGCTGACTGCATGTCCTGATCATCATGGGAACTTGTTTTGTCTTTAGCACTACGCCCTCACCATCTCTCCCCACTCAAAACTCACACACAATCGGCCCGGCTCCATTGATAATAGCAGCTAATGTTTGTCCAGCGCTTACACATAAGAAACACTTTACATACAAAATTTAAGTGGCTTAACCAAGGCCAAGGAGCTAGGTTAACATACTTCTTTACTTCTGCTTTTTATCATTCCAACCTTGAAATTTCTTGGGGGAAGGGGAAATATTGACTAATTCTATTCTAGTTTTTTCTCGGCCGCCTCTTGCTCATGGCGGCCTGCTTTAGTAGCTAGCGGAAACGGGGTTCAAACCTGGGTCTGTTAGATGTCAACGCTGATGACTTAGTCACCATCTCCCACCCTCCCCACCCTCCCCACCCCCACCAGTAAGCCTTTAGTCATTGCACAGTCTCCTAAGTTCCAGTGCCCATTTTACAACCTAGCGCTCTTCCTGACGCTCCATGACGCAGGAGGCAGGGCTCCATCACCAAGCGTACCCTTTCCCGAACCATGGGCTGGTGCTGGGAGACGCAGGCGCGAATATGTGTGCTGGGCCTAGAAGACCCAAGTGCTGCCCGAGGAGCAGCTCCCCTTCTCACCATGTTGATCTTCCCTTGCGGGTGAGCCAAGGCCGACAGGGAGATGGCCGTTACCGCGCTGACTGCAAGAGCATAGTAGGTGTTGAGCACAGCATTCTTCCTTTCGGCTTCTGTTGTCAGCAGCATGGAGTTGAAACTCGGCCAGAACATCCACAAGAAGAGGGTGCCTGGGGGCCAGAGATGGTCATGGGCCAGAACCAGCACGCCTGCTCCAAAGCCTGAGCCTCCGCAGACTTCAGGCAGGAGAATCCCGGAGCTGGCAAATCTCAGCTTCATCACTCTCTAGCTACGTGACTTTGGGCAAGTCGTGTTCTTTCTGAAATCTAAAGTTGGTGGGGCCTGTCTAACATACTTCACAGGCAAGGAAACTAAGGCCCTGAGATTTGAGATCACCAAATCCCAGGCCTTCTGACCCTAGCCTTGTGATGGCCAAATGCTTATTTTAAACACTTAACTTGCTGCTTTCATTCAGCCCCATGGCCTGATATTCAGTTGCCTGCTGTCAAGGTCACTGGCTGACTTCCTCTAAGCCCCTCCCAGCAGTCTGAGTTCGTCATTTTCACCGCATCTTTTCAAAATACACCATTATTACTGTTCTGTTCCCACCCCTCATCCTTCCTCCACTTCAGTGTAGGGGGGACCCTACTTTCTTCACTTGTCCAATTCCCTCCTTTAAGTTGAGGCCCAAGAGGTTGGATAAACTTAATTAAATTTAAATGTAGGGAGTGTCTCCCCTCATTTGGATATGAATGAAGAGAGGATCCTAGAGCAGAAAGGCTTCTTTCAAAGGTCTGCCTTCATCAAACACCACTTGAAGAAATGTCATTGTAGAGGGGCCTCAGACACCCAGGGCAGGTCAGTGAAGGGGAAATTTTCTGCAGAGCCTTTTGGAGCCTCTTGCTCACTCCAGGTGCGAAACCATCCACCCGCCTTGTCCTTACCCAGCATGGCAAACAAACTGGGGCTTGTTGCCCTCTGATCTTTCTCCTCCGCTCCCTTGGGCAGAGGTCTTGAGAAGCACCAGGCCACAGTGATCCCAAAATAGGCCGCGAACACATGGATGTGCATCATGCTTAAGTGGTCGTCCATCTGCAACAAAACCCAGAGGGAACAGTAAGTGTCGGTATCCTCTGCCCATGGGCAAACCTCCTCTCACCTCCCCCAGTTTCTTGGAGAAAGTTCTGAGCTTCATATAGGAGGTATGACTTGAAGTCATGAGACTGGTGGTGTTTGGAGCTTATCCAGGCCAGCATTTCCTCTTTCAGAGGAACCCGCATGTAACTGAGTATTGTTACTCCAAGGGGGTTGCAAGTTAGTTTTATCTGTAGCTTTTAATTTTCCTTTCTTTCTTCCTTCCTTCCTTCCTTTCTTCCTTCCTTCCTTCCTTCCTTCCTTCCTTCCTTCCTTCCTTTCTTTCTTTCTTTCTTTCTTTCTTTCTTTCTTTCTTTTTCTTTTTATCCTTACCCGAGGACATTTTTCCATTGCTTTGAGAGAGAGAGAGAGAGAAACATGGATGTGAGAGAGAAACATCAGCTGGCTAACTGGCTGACTCCCGTACATGCCCTGAATGGGGAATGTGCACTGCCCAGGAATCGAATCTGCAGCCTTTCAGTATATGCTCCAACCACCTGAGGTACTCTGGCCAGGGCTTATCAATAGCTTTCAGATGCTTTTGGCTGAGGTTTGCTTAGGTGGGGCCAAAAGCCACATGATCACACACCCTCCCTGCTTCCTCTTTTTTGGCAGAATTTCATGGAATTATGAGTGATAGAAACTTTGCAACATGAAACAGCCAGACGTCTCATAATAGAACTGAAGACTTTAGTAAATTCTAAGCATATGCTAATTTTGCTTTATGAATATCAAATTTAGTCATCTTTAATAACTCGCTTAGTGGGCTACTCCTAAATCCTGTCAACTGTGCCTTCAAAAAATATTGGCAGAGTTTTCACCACCACAGCTCACTGACCTCACCTTGGTTTAAGTCACCATCACCTCAACCCCAAATTATTACAATAACTTTTCTAACAAGTGATCCAAGTTAATGTCCTCAGTAATGAGGCAAATGCCACTACCTCACTGTATGATCTTGGGCAATCCCTTCCCCTCTCTGGGCATCAGCTTTCTCGCCTGTGATCAGCCTTCATTTTACTTGATTATATCTGACCACAGGGTCACAACAGCAGAAGAGCTGGGAAAACCATTTGGTCTGGCCTCAGCCTTAGATGTTTGACCATTTTCCCCAATGAGATCACATGTATAGCTAGTGACACACATTGACTGGTTTGAAAGAAGATGCTGGCCATGTAGCTCGCTGGACCAGAGCTGGTGGTGCCATGGGAATTAATTATCTTTTTATACATCCCATAGTTACCTTGTGATTCCTACAGTATCATATTTTAAGAGTTAAACGCATGCATTTGTTATGTTTAAACACTTAGCATAGGCCACACTTTTGTAACCTGCTTTGGGCCTGGCTTTATTTTTTAAACCCCAGAAGCCTCACCAAATGGAGGCTGTTCTTTCCACCACTTCACCACTCCTCATAGGACCATGACTCACAAAGAGGAATTGCTTGCCCATCATCCTCATGGCGCCAAAGGCTGTCACCTCTATCAGCACCATCACCAGGAGCTGCAGTAGGTTGGCCTTCCCCAGGATGGCACCCGCTGAGATCAGCACAGACATAGCACTCATGGTGGCCTGCTGAATCCTGGGGAGAGAGAGCAAGACAGTGATGGCTAACAAGGAAGGTTGCCTCTCATTCATTCATTCATCCACTCATTTAATAAACACTTGTTGAGGATCTACCACCCTCTGCCTGGTACTGCTCAAGAAACTCGAGACACAGTAGGAGAACAAGAAGGCAAGGCTTCTGCCTCCATGCAGGATTGATGGGGCCAGACTGCGGTTTCCTTCGTCCCCTTCCTCCATCACGTTGGCATCTACACTCGGAGAGATTAATATCACATCCGTTCTGAGGATGCTCAGAGGTATGTTACTGTGAGTTACAGAGGCCAGATGTTCCCTCGGGGCTCCTTTCTGGGATCTGACAACTGGGACTGTTGTCTAACGGCTTTTCTTCCGCCGTCATCACTTAGAAATGCTCAATAGAGGGCGCTCTTCACCTGCGTACCCCGCCAGCCACCTTTATCTGCTCTCCCAACGGGTTTAGAAGTAGGACAAGCCTGGCTTCCAGTCTCAGCTTTTCCGCTTGAGCAGTTCTTTAATCTCATTGAGCCTGTTTCTCCATCTGTAGACTAAGACTGATAATAAAATTATGTCATGGTAGTACTGTGGGGATTAGAACAAATATTCGTGCATGTGTGTCTAGCACCGTGACAGCACAAAGAACTAACTAAGGAGTAGAAGCCTGCATTATTAGAACTATTACTGATTCCTTCCTCCTCTTGACAAACGAGCAAGCTCAGTGTGGGGATTCAGAAGCAAAAAACAATTTTTGTTCTTGAGGAACTTATGATTCGGCTGGAAAGACAGGGCTGACACCATGAAGCCTGATATCACTATCGTGCTATAAGGAAGCTAAAGGGAGACACTGAAGAGACGGAGCAGTATAGATTGGACTAGGTCAAGGAGGGTTTCCTGGGGGAGGTGGCTCTGACTGCAGCAATCGATGGTGGTTAAATCAACCCACTCTCCCTGAGACCCATTCTTGCTCTGAGACCCATCCCTCCACCTGGGAGTTGACAAGGATGATGCTACTACAACCACCACCACCACCCTGATACTTTATTGAGCATCATCTATAACAGGCTTGCAACCACATTGCCTCGTTTAAATTTTTTTCAATTACAGTTGACATTCAATATTAGTTTATATTAGTTTCAGGTGTACCGCATAGTGATTAGACATTTATATAATTTATGAGGTGATCTCCTCATGATTCCTTCATCTACCTGGTACCATACGTAGCTATTACAATATTATTGACTATATTCCCTGTGCTGTATTTCACATCCCTGTGACTATTTTGTAACTACCAATTTGTACTTCTTAACTTCTTTACCTTTTCCATCCAGTGTCTCAACCCCCCTCCCATCTGGAACCATCGGGATTTTTTTCTCTGAATCTATAAGTCTGTTTCTGCTTTGTTTGCTCATTTATTTTACTCTTTTTAAATTTTTTTAAAGATTTTATTTATTGATTTTTAGAGAGTGGGGGGAGAGAGAGAGAGAAACAAAGGGAGAGAAACATCAATATGTGAGAGAAATATTGACTGGTTGCTTCCCGCACGCCCCCAACTGGGGACTTGACCCACAACCCAGGTATGTACCCTGACCAGGAATCGGACCAGGGACCTTTCAGCTTGTAGGCTGCCACTTAATCCACTGAGCCATACCAGCCAAGGCTATTCTGTTCTTTAGATTCCACATATAACTGAAATCATACTGTATTTATCTTTCTCTGTTGGACATATTTCACTTAGGCTAATACCCTGTAGGTCCATCTATGTCTTCGCAAATGGTAGGATTTCATTTTTATGGCCAAGTAATATTTCATTGTATATATGGACCAAATCTTTATTCACTTGTCTATTGATGGGTGCTTGGCCTCCCTCCAGTCCTAGCTATGATAAATAATGTTGCAGTGAATATAAGGGTGCATGTATGTATTTTCAAATTAGTGTTTTGGATTTCTTCAGATATATATCCAGAAATGGAATTGCTGGGTCACAGGCAGTTCTATTTTTAATTTTTTGAGGAAACACCCTACTATTTTCCATAGTGGCTGTACCAATTTCCAATCCCACAATCAATGCATTTTCTCCACATGTTCACCAACACTTGTTTGTTGATTTCTTGACAACAGCCATTCTGACAGGTGTGAGGTGATATCTTACTGTGGTTTTAATTTTCATTTCTCTGATGATTAGCGATGTTGAGCATCTTTTCATGTGCCCATTGGCCGTCTGTATGTCCGCTTTGGAGAAATGTCTATTCAGGTCCTCTGCTTATTTTTTAATTGGATTATTTTGGTGTTGAGTTGCATGAGTTCTTTATAAATTGTGGATATTAACCTTTTATTGAATATATTATTGATGAATGTAGTCTCCCATTCATTATGTTGTCTTTTTGTTTTATTGATGGTTTCCTTTTCTGTGCAAAACTGTTTAGTTTGATGTAGTTCCATTTGTTTATTTTTACTTTTGTTTTCCTTGCCTGAGGAGATATATCAAAAAAAAATCTCTAAGAACAATGTCAGAGGACATACTGTCTATGTTTTCTTCTAGGAGTTTTATGGTTTCAGGTCTTACGTTTAAGTTTTCAATCCAGGGGGGTAGGGGTGGGATGGCGGTGGGGGTAGGATGGGTGGAGTGGGGGAAATTGAGACAACTGTAATAGAATAAACATGATTTATGAATTAAAAAAATAAATTTAAAGAAATGAAAAAAAGAAATTAAATAAATAAATAAATATTTTGTGTTTTATAAAAAAGTTTTCAATCCATTTTGAGTTTTTCTTTGTACATGGTGGAAGAATGTTGTCTAGTTTCTTTTTTTGCACATATTTGTCAAATTTTTCCAACATCATTTATTGAATAGACTGTCTTTACTTCATTGTATATTCTTGCCTCTTTTGTCATCTATTAATTGAATATATAGGCATGGGTTTATTTCTGGGCTCTCTATTCTGTTCATTGATCTATGTGTTTGTTTTTATGCCAGTACCATACTATTTTCATTACTATAACCTTGAAGTATAATTTGATATCAGGTAGTGTGATTCCTCCAACTTTGTTCTTCTTTCTCAAGATTGCTGTGGCTATTTGGGGTCTTTTGTGGTTCCATATAAATTTTAGGATTTTTTTTTTTTTTTTTTAGTTCTGAGAAAAATGTCATTGGTGTTTTGATAGGGACTGCATTGAATCTATAGATTGTTTTGGGTAGTATGGACATTTTAATGATGTTGAGTCTTCCTATCCATGAACATAGTATATGCTTTCACTTATTTGTATTGTCTTCAGTTTCTTTAGTGTCTTATAATTTTCCAAGTACAGGTCTTTTACCTCCTGGGTTAAATTTATTCCTAGGCATTTTATTTTTTGATGGAGTTGTAAATGTTGTTTTCTTAATTTCTCTTTCTGATAGTTTATTATTGTTGTACAAAAAATGCTACCAGTTTCTGAATATTAATTTAATATCTTGCTACTTTACTGAATTTGTTTATTAGTTCTAATAGTTTCTTGGTGGAATCTTTAAGTTTTTCTATATACAGTATCATGTCATCTGCAAATAATGACAGCTTTACTTCTTCCTTTCCAACTTGGATGCCTTTTATTTCTTTTTCTTGTCCGATTGCTGTGGCTAGGACTTTCTCATTTACATTTAAATCCTCCAAGTAACTCTGTAAATGGTGCTAGGGTACCATTCAGTACCTCCATTTTACAGAAGAGGACACTGAAACTAGAAGAGGAGACTATTTTTGGCAATGACCACACAGCTGGTTAATGACAAACATGAGGTTCAAACCTAGTTGGCCTGGATTCAAAGTCTGTGTTCTGAAGTCTGAACAAAGCCTCTCCAGTGTTTGCTGCCAATGTGGAGTCCTGTTTAAATCTCCGAATTTCAGAGAGAAGTCAGGGGGCAAATGGCAAGGGAAGGAGCCTCACAGGAACCAGGAATTATTTAGAATTCCTTACTATGTGAGGAAAACAAAGGACAAAATTGAATAAGACAGGCCCCTGCCCTGAAGGAACTGGTCATGGGTGACTCAAGGCAGAACCAACTCAGTGTCAAGTCAGACTGCACAGAGTGGGTGAGGCTGAGGGAGAGGGAGAGTCCCCAGCTGGGTGGCAGGCCTAAGCACCACCCACCAGCCCAGTCCAGCTGGAAAGGTCAGGAAGGAACCCATCCTTCAGATCTGTGATGCCAGTCTCAGCAATGGTCACCAATGGGAGGACCCAGCTGGTCAGAGGTGGGGCAGGGAAGGTTGCTCGGGCTGCAGATGACCTCTTCTTGTCTTTCTGGATTGAGTCAAGAGTAAACAGGTCCCTGCAGGCAGGGCCACAGAAGAAGGGAGCAGCCCACAGATGCCTGTAGACTCAGGAACAGGAGGCTGACGGCTTATGTGACCTTCTACCCAGGCAGCAGAAACACCAGACCAGGGCCACCACTGTCAGAGTTCCCCCAGAGCGCCTTTTGTCACTTCCCATGTGGTTACCGAGATTATCAAATCCCCATAGGGATTTGCTCTAAAGCTGTTTAGAAGAAGAAGGTGGAGAGGTTTTTTTTGTAGGGCCAGTGGAGAGCTAACTAGACTGTTTCATGTCATGACTACTTGGATTGTACCAGAAGATAGTTAAAGCTAAAGCCATGTCACCACTTACTGTGTGACCCTAAGCAAACAGCTTATGCTCTCTGAGCCTGTGTCCTTGCTTGTACACCAAGTTAGACCCCTACTAAAAGCATTACACAAAGTAATGTTTGTCAAGTGCCTGGCACAGTGCCCGACTCAGTGGCTGGCTCATGGACAGATGTTCAACAGTGGTGCCCAGAGGTTTAGCAATCTTAGAGGGGTGGATGGAGTGACCTTCAGAGGTGACAGTTTCCACAAGATACCTAAAATGGCATTTACAATCATTTGGGCAGGACAGAGATTCAGAGTTACTTAAAACAAGTACAAAATAATTTAAAGGAAAATTTTTCCTCATTCCTCCTGTCAAATGCTAGCTAATACTTTTTCTTTTAAATGTGTGTGTGTGTGCGCGCGCGCGTGCGCGTATCCTTATATAACCATTACCCAAGATAACAGAGAACATTTACTGCATCCCATAAGGTTCTTTTGTGCCCCTTCCTAATCAATAACTTCCACCTTCTCCAGGTAACCACTATTCTGACTTCTGGTAACATGGGTTAATTTATCTTGGAACTTCATATAAATGCATCTAAATGGATCAAAATAAATTTAATGAAAGTAAAGGCACAACTATTTCTTGCCGATCAGCATTTGAGAACTAAAAGCACTTCTTTCTTTTCAAGAGACTGTCTAGCTAAGTGTAACATTTCTATTTCTTTCTGTCTTATCTCCATTAATTTTTCTTTGAACCCATATTGATTGGGTAACTTCACAAACTCATATTCAGTAATAAAGAAAGGACTTAGGTAGAGCTGTAGATCTGGAGTTCTCAGATAAAATATATGATGCTCAGTTAAATTTGAATTTTAGATAAACAATGAGTAATTTGTTAGTGTAAGTATGTAAATGTTGCATGGTTTCAGTTCTTGAAAGAGAAGGGGCCGCCCTGGCTTTTTTTAGAACCCATCCTCTCGGGCCCCATATGCTTAAGGACCCAAAGGCTATCCAGCTGCCAGTTACCTGGACTGTTTGATGACCACTTTCCCCGAAAAGGGCTGCTCCAGAAAGCCATCCAACAGGACTGCCCACTGCACCCCCAGGGCCAGCATGAAGAAGTTGAAGGCCACGCTGCTCCAGCTGTATCTCCACAAAGATGAGGTGAGGAAGCCCAGGCCAAGGGCTGCCATGACGGTGACATCGTGGAGGAGGGCTAAGGAAGGTGACGTCGAGGAGGAGGAAGAGAAGCAGACAAAGTGGAGCAGTGATTTTCAACCTTTTTCATCTCATGGCACACAAATTAATTACTAAAAGTCTGCAGCACACCAAAAAATACATTTTTTGCTGATCTAACCAAAACATAGGTATAATTTTGATTCATTCACACCAGATGGCTATTGTTGTGTTGGCTGTTGTTGTTTTTTGTTTTGTTTTGTTTTTTTAATTTGACAATCTAAGGGAAAAGAGATCAGTGCCTCTAACTAAATAGGTATTGCTTGGTTTAAAAGTCCTTGTGGCACACCGGTTGAAAATTGCTGAGGTAGAAGGTTGAGTGAAATTAGAGTTTTACAGAATGGCGGCTAGATGGGATGTTAAAGATCATTTGAAAGTGCTTGGTAAAGTTACTTCACCTCTTTGAGCCTCAGTTTTCTCAGCTGAACAATGGGAAGAGTGCATGCATACCATGTAGGGTTAAAGGAGGGATTAGATGCGTGAAGCTGGTTAAGCATAAAGGCAGGACCTGTCTGACCCAACGTGAGTGCTCAGGAAATGTAGCAATTATTGTTATTATTAAACATAATGATGTGAGCAACTGTAGACCATCAGGACCAGTGGTTGGCATGTAGCTGACACTAGGTACAAGTAACTACTGCTGTTGTTGGGGATCAGGTTCTACTTCCTGATTGTGAGCATGAGAAAATAAGGCATAGAAGCCAGTGACTTGGCTCAGGTCATACAGAAAAGAGGGAGGAGAAGCAGTCCCAGAGGTTCTGTAGGCAAGAACCAAATTATCTTTGCAGAAAACAACCATCTCCCTTTGCCACTTGCTGAGACAGACCTGGTGGGCCAGCAGCAAACACCAGGGCCATCTGGGTGACCCGCACCTTCCCAAACTCAAACCCAGTGCAGGGGCCGCGATGTCAGGCGAGTGCAGGAGACTGAAATAACGTCAGAGAGAGGTCCAGCAAAAGAAAAAGTGTGGACCCTTTGATTTAAATCCAGGCCTGAAAAGTGGTTAGCAGCGTGGCCTCCAGAACTAGGCAAGCTTGGATTCAAATTAGGGCTCTGGCACTGTGCAACTGTGATGTCTTAGTTTAGTTCTCTAACATCTCTGAGCTTTAATAACAGCCTCCGCTGATTAAGTGTTTATGCTGTTCCTGCACTGTTTTAATCATTTTATGTAAACTATATCATTTAGTTCTCACAATGACCCACAAGGTGGATACTGTTATTATTACAATTTTACAGACACAAAAACTGAGGCAGAGAGGAGGCAAGAAACTTGCCCCAGATGCTAGAGCCAGGATTGAAACCTAGAGGGTCTGCTCTGAAGCCTGTACATTCAATTAAAACACTATGTACCCTGTTAGTTTTCTCATCTGTTAAATGGGAAAAATAGTCATACCACCTTTGTCAGTTAACAGAATCCAATGGTACAATGCACAGAATCACTCTGAATAGTAAAGACTATTTTATCAACAAACACCAACTATTTTTACATGTGTATAAATGTCTGGAGAGAGATCTTGGAGAAACTTTTTCCCCTTATGGATATTATATCTGGTTTGGGAGAATTTTACTTGAAAAAAAATGTTCAGTGTTTAAATTTTCTACGACCAGTTGTAGACAGTAAACGATCTTAAAAAAAAAAAATGAAAAAAAAGCACCAGCTTTGCGTTTAGACAGCTCTGATTGATTCTAGCTCTATTATCCCCTATTAGGTTACACCATATTAAATTGCCAACTTTTCACCATTTTTTGACTATAAAAATGGTAGTTTATGTGTTTTGACTTCACAGGCGTGTGGCCTTGTAGGTTGCTGACTTTCCTCATCAGCTAAATAAGGGCAATTATCTCCCCCTGCCCCCAGAGGGTGCTGGGAGATGTGAAGGAAGCAATGTTTTGTTTAAGTGCTTGGCTCAGTGCCTGGCACGTGGAGAACGCTCAGCGAACGGAGGCCAGTTCTTCACCATCACCATCACCATCACAGCAATAAGAACTCGCCTGGTCTCCACGGGTCTCCAAAGTCTCAAAAATCCCCTTCAACCTATATTTCAATACATTCTTATTGAAAAATACACACACCTAGGGTCTTGTACATAGGGTTTGGGAGCTGGTTGATGTTCCTAGGTCAGTCTGACAACACCAGGATGTAGGAGGCCCCTGAGGACTTCCGTGGGATCTGCGGACTTGGGGAATGGGTGAGAAGTGGGCATCCAGGAGGATTCAACTTCCTGTACCTTCTTGTCTGACAAGAGGGAGGGGAGGGGAGGGGTGCAGGCAATGTCTCAGTTTCCTGCTTGTATCCTCTCAGGAATGGGGCTGGGCCGGCAGCGGGCAGGGCACATTTTGTACAAGGCCTCCTCTTGGGGTTGCTCACTCCTTCAGGAGCCAATCAGAAAACCGTGCATGTGAAGGGTGCAATGCCTACTTGGAAGTGGCGAGGCCTGCAGCCAACTGGACACTGCACACTCACTTTAGATATTCAAATTCAATCTTTTATTAAATGCTGCTGTTAAACACTCTTGCCGTTTTGCAAGCAATACTATAGGCATAGGGTTGCTGAAGATTTCATGAATGGAGAGACACTTCCATTTTCCTCCCATTTTATAGAAGGGGACCAGAGAGAGCCTGTGACTTCCTCAAGGCCACGCAGCATGCCAGGAGCAGAGCCAAGCTCTGAATTCCTGGTATAGTGCCCCTGTACCAGGCTAGGCCATCTCTTGCTCCTGTTTGCCTCGCCTCACTAAGAGAACTTAGGCAAGTCCCTTGCCCTCTTTAGGCCTCAGTTTTCCTATCTGTAATACATGGGAGTTGGACTTGACACTCTCTAAGGACCTCACCATTCCGGAACATTCAGAGGAGGGTATCAATGGGTAAGGAGAGGAGGGTCTCCAGCATTAGGGCAGAGGTGGGGCCCTAAAGATGAGAAAGTCAGAGGACCTTGGGTGGGGGCTTCATCAGGCACAGCTACCACCCCTGCCAGGTACAGGAGCTCAGGGTCTTCTTCCCAAAGACCCCCCACAGTCCCTGAAGGAGGAGCTGTGATTCAGCCAGAAGTTAGGGTGGCCGTTTCCGGGCACTGTTGACAGAGCCCATTCACTGCACCCTGGTCAGTACATAACATTTGATTTCAGGCCCCTTCTTCTCTCACTCCCTGCTCCCTCCCCTTCCCTCTCCCAGCCTCCCAGGGTGCTAGGCCCACACCTGCTCCTCCCATGTCTCACTGCCAGGACCCACACTTCAGATGGAGGCTGGGTCCCTGCTGGTGTCAGCCTCCATCTCTCAGAGGCTGCGTTCCACCCACATCAGCCCCAAGTCTGATAAGCTCATGACTCTAAGGTGTTCAAGAGTGATAGGGAAAGGATGTGCTCCTGGGGCTCCAGTGACTGGGCCTGGGAGGGGAATTTTACAGCCTAAGGCATGGCTTAGAAAAAGAAAATCTAACGTGGGAGCCCAGCAGCGTGGGACGAGGCAATAATTACCATCATTGTGACAGTAGGCACATATATGGTGCCCTCCACATATCAGGCTCTGTTGTTTCCAAAACAGGCTTAACCTGCAAAGACCTTGTGCTGTAGGTACTATTTATTATTCCCATTTTACAGATGGGGAAAGGGAGGCAGAGAGGTGCTGTAACTAACCCAGGTCACACAGGTAGCAAATGGTGGTGGGAGATCTGAATCCTGACCATTTGGTTATAACCACTGCACAATCCTGCCTCTCCATACAGTGTATGTAGAGTAATGGTGAAGAGTGTGGGTTTCTGAGTGAGATTCACAGCTTGTTAGAGTTCACAGCTTGGTTCTACTTCTGTGTCCCAGCTCGTAATCTGTAAAACTGGAACCTACTCAGAGGATTGCTGTGAGCATTGAGCTCGCGGGCTCATGCAGACCACTGAACCTAGCATTGGGTGCATGGTAAATGCCTGTAACTATTATCCCATGCCTGCCACTTGTTAGCTGTGTGACTTCGGGCAAGGCTGAGCCTGCCTCTCCCTTCCCCGCCCTGCCTCTGGCCTGGATGCCCCAGCAATTCCAGCTCTGTGTTCCCACATAGCCTTGCCCCTCCTTCTGGCCTGTAGATACCTCAGGACCATCAACTCTGAAGCCAGAACCCCCTTCTGTCCTCAGGCTCTGGGCTTGACCTCCACACTGTGCTTCCCACTGCTGACCAGGAAGGCCTCTGCAGGCCCAGACGGGGACTGTCCATGGAGCTTCACGCTGCCCCTCCCCTCCCCATACCCTCTACTCCCACCCTCACCCATGCAGCAGCCTGGGAAGAGAAAAAGAGATTTCCCAATCAGAGAGGCGCCCAAGCTAAGATGTGGAAGGCACCAGAATTTGGTGGTATTCTCGTCACTGACAAAGCTCCTCTTGTCTTTCGGTGGACCTCCTTCTGGCTTCTGAGGAGTACGGGGGGGATTGGGTGGTAGTCACAGTGCAGGGCTCAGGCTTGTCCACCAATGGCAGCCTTACAGTAGGCTCTGTGTGACAGATTGTTACAGTAATGCGCTCAGTGACTCATGCCTTCCAATGTAGACCCCTCCCGCCTGGGTTGGGCCTTGTGATTTGCTTTGGTCAATGGGACATTAGTAAACATTTTAGTAAACATAATACAAACAGAGACTTGAAAAGCACCTGCACATTGGGGCTTGCTCTCTGTTACTGTGGTAACTCTCCTGCTGCCATATGAAGAAGTCTAATAGCTAGTACCACACGGGCTAGTTGCCAGACATGTGAATGAGACAATCTGGGACTGTCTGCCCTGGGTCAAATATCCAGGATGGAGATGTATGAGTGACCTCAGGTGAAACCAACAGAAGAACTGCATTGCTGAACCCAGCCCAAAGTGCTGAACCACAGACTCATGATCCTGAGCAAATTAAGTGGTTGCTATTTTAAGCCACTAAGTCTGGGGGTGGTTTGTTATGCAGCAATAGATAACTGATATACTCTGCTTTTCTTTAGTATCTCAGAGGCACCCCAACCCCAAGCATAAAGTGAACATATCATCGTTCACTTATCCCACAATCTGCCCCTCCCCGTGTCTCTCATTTCAGGAATTGGCAGCTCCATCTGCCAAACCACACATCTGAAGCCATCTTTGACAACTCCCTCACTTTCACCAAGCACGACTGATTTTATCTCTTAAGTATCTCTTGAATCTGACTCTTTGATTCTCCTTTGCTCCCCCTGCCCATTTGGCCTCATCACAGGTTGTTCAGACCAGTGGTCATCAGAGTAGGGAACACGCACCTCAGAAGATGCTCCAGACAATCGATAGGGACTGCTGGAGGAAGATAGTAGTACTTCTAGTTTTACTTAAAAAATAAAAAGTTAAAGTTTATTAATAATAAAAGCTAATACTCTTATCAGTATTTATATGTGTTAATTATTTCAGTCCTTTCAACATCTTAATGAAGTAAGAACTGTCATCATGTCACAGAAGTTGACATGGGGGTCGAGCGATGTTGAGTAATTTGCTCAACCTCTCACAGCTAGGAGGAGGCAGAGGCAAGAGGTGAATCAGTCTAACCCTAGTAGTTCTCAAAATTTCATGTGTATCAGAATCGCTTAGAGGGGTTGGTAACACACAGAGTGCTGGGCACCACCCTTGGAGTTCCTGATCAGTAGTTATGGACCAGGGCCTGGAAACCTGTTCTAACCAGCTCCCAGGTGATGTTGAGGCAACTGGTCTGAGGGCCACACTTTGAGAACCATGGATCTACGCTGTCCTTCCTCTAATGATGAAGTTTGCAACACTGCAAATGTTTAATATTTAGATTAACCCAGAAGCTTTCTCTTACTTGCTCAGGATGTCAGGCAGCTTAGAAGCTGTCCTAGCTTTGGAAGGTGTCCTAAGGGAATATCGGAACACTGGGAAGGGGTTGATACATGTTTCTCTGTATTCACCAGGTTGCAACTGATGACAGATTTTTTTAAAAATTGAACTCTTTATTATGGAAACTTTTAAGCATATACAAAAACAGAGAGAGTAGCATGGTGAACTTCACGTAACCCGTTCCCAGCTTTGATGATTTTCACATAGAGCCTATCTCATTTTTATTATCTTTCTCCTCTTGTTTTCTTCTCTCCTCTCCTCTCCTCTCTTCTCCCCTCCCCTCCCCTCCCCCTCCCTCCCTCCCTCCCTCCCTCCCTCTCTCTCTCTCTCTCTCTTTCTTTCTTTCTTTCTTTCTTTCTTTCTTTCTTTCTTTCTTCCTTCCTTCCTTCCTTCCTTCCTTCCTTCCTTCCTTCCTTCCTTCCTTTTCTTTCTTCTGGCATAAAGTACACCCCAGACATCATTCCACTTCAATATGCCTCTCTAACAAATAGGGGCTTAAAAAAACCCCACTATGCTATTATCATACCTAACAAAACTAAAAATAATTCCTGTATATCACATAATATTTATGCTGTATCGATTCCCCAATTACCTCCAAAATGTCTTTTTTAGAATTGGCTTGTTTAAATAACTTATTATAGCTTACATGGACTAGATTAAGTGGATTGGCAGATTAAATTACCTAGTTTTAACTCAACTAACTAACCTTCACAAAATGGACTAGTGACTTAAATGGTTTTTGTGATACTTTTCCTTGTACAAATTCTTTGTCAGTCACATTCAAGATTAAAAAAAAGTCAGTCTAATCAGTTGGCAAGAAGTCAACCAAGATCATTTGAAATTATCAGGAAGACTCTGAGAAATGAATTTCTGTCCACTATCAGTAACAGTAATATGGGATCTTACTTTGAGACTGACATCATTGTGATCCGTAATTAGAAACTACTTTATATTTCATTTTGATCAATTTCAAAATTTTCTAATTTGAATGTATGTATTATAATATACAAAATATATTCATGTACCATAATGTATAAATATGGTATGTACTAGAAAAAAGTGTGGACAATCTGAAAACCCTGAAGCCTCCACGCCGGTGTCCCCGCTGAAGTCATGCCCGTCCCCCATCCCCTCTGCCAGCCCTGGCACGGCTTTCTCCATTACCCAAACCCAAACTCATTGCATCCTCCTAGGTCAGCAGAATGAAGGTCGAATTCCTTACTCAACCCAGTGGATCCACCATGGCTGCCCCCTCTTGGTGGTCCAACAACACTGCATTGTCAAACCCTCACCTGGTTCACTCCAAAGAATGCACACACAATGGTTCCTGCTGTGCTCTTGACCTTCTGTTTTCACATGGTTAACTCCTACTGAACCTCCAAGACCTGACTGAGTAGTCAGCTCTTTGTGTGGGCTGTAGGCCCTCCTTGTGCTTCCATATATAGTGGGTGTCTGAGGACACTCTATGCTTATGTTAGCTGCACAGCATAGAAGGACAGAGACCTGGGGGCCAATCGACAGAGGTGGAATACTGGTCCTGACACCTACTGGTTATGCGATAAGTGACTCTACCTCACTGTAAAATAGGGCCATGAAGCATAATGGTTAAGTGTATGAAACCAAAGCCAAGCTGTGTACATTTAAATTCCTATGCTTTTGCTAGCTGAGTGCCCTTGGGCACAGTACTTAATATCTATGAGCCTGATTTCTTCCTAAGAAAAATGGAGATCATAATAGTGCCCATCTCATAGGGTTATTGTGAGGGTTCAGTGAAATCATTTAGAATAGTGCCTGGTATACAATAAGAGCTCATTAAACATCAGCTCTGATTGGCGTGGGTCTGGATCCCACACTGGTTGTAATACAGGGTTGAATGAATGAATGAGTAAATGAATGAATGCATTAAATTACAGTGTATTGGATTGAAAAGAATTAAAGTAAATGGAAAGTAAACAGAAATGAATTAGAATTGTGCCCAGGCCTTGCTTGTCTACAAGGGCCCCTCTGGGCCAGCCCATTGAGTTATGTAGGGGTTTCCCTCCCTCAGTTCTACTTTCCATTGCTGAGGGCCCAAGGGCACCTTCCCTTTGCTTCCAGTTAACTAGTCAGTTAACGTCATTAAGGAACAAGCAAGTACTCAACCAAACCCAAGCATCAGCTTTATCTCAAGAACGTCACTCAAGGAGGACTGTCCATTATCATGAACAACATATTGCCTTCTGAGATGCTTGAAAACTCATGGTAATTTTTGTAAAAAGTAAAAGCCACACCGCTGTGGACATCTGTCTTGTTTACTGTTGCTGTCATGTCTGAATATTTTTAGCTGCATATAAAATAACAACCATCCTACACTCCCCTTCAGTTATACCTTCTGGCTTTGGATGACAGAATGCAGGCTCCACAGCCTCCAAGTAAGAAGAGGCCTGAGGGCAGGGGCGGGACAATAGACTAAAGCTTCTAAAAGGAGGTTGGTACATAAGGGAGCCAGAGAGACCCAAACAAGATAACAAAAACTAAAACCCCAATAATGTGAAATTCCTTGCTGCTAAGGGGAAAGAAGTTGGGGGAAGCAGAGAATTATGAAGACTATTTGGCAAAGGGAATTGTGGGAACATAGAAAAGGAGGCTCCCCCACCCTGCCCTGGCAGATCAAGGAAAGCTCCACAGTAGTGATGCTTCTGCTGGTCCTAAAAGGGAGCCTACACTGTTGGCTGTGTCTTTGTGCAACCTACGGAAGAAGATGAGAGAACCCCTTTCCTTGGACACTTTGTGGAAAGGAACATTTAGGCTCCTGGAGGACCACAGACCTCCTTTGCCCCTGCTCCTATTTACCTCTGTGACCACCTCTCCTCTGGGCACCCACCTTGTTCAGTCCTCACGGTCTTGTGATTCTTTGCGGTCATGTCATAGCTGGTGAAAAAGAAGAAGATGAGAATGAAAGCCACCTCCAGCATTAAGGTCCACACGGGCAGGCAGCTCCGCAGAGACCTTGGGTACTTAGAGCCCATTCTGTGTGCGTCCCTGTGCGTGGTTCCACCAGCACCAGGCATTACCCCTCTGTCCCCACACCCACTGGAGGGGGTGATGGGGAAACACCCGCCAAATGTCTTATCTTAGGCTGCAAGGCTGGCTCTGCTGGCCTGTCTATGGAGTTAACACAGGTGCAGAGGGACTATAACAGCGAGGAGGAAGAAATTCATTTATTCCAACATTAATTCAGTCATTCAATCAATCATCATTTACTTATACATTCAACAAGGGGTTGCTGCATTCCTACTGTAGGGCAGGCATTGTACTCAGTTTAAAAGAAGGCATTCATTCATTCGACACCCACACATAAGAATGTTCCTTTATTCATTCCTTTAGTTTACCCTCACCATATTCCTGCAATAAAAGCAGAGAATGGATCAACACTCCTATTTTACAAATGGGGAAACTGAGGCTCAGAGTGGGATTTGGATTGGCACAAATTCTCTTCAAAACCTTACCACATGTCAGAGAGCATTCAGTGAGCTCTTAGTAAGGGTGTATTAAATGTGAATGAATGAATGGGCGAAAGCAAAGTATAACACTAAGCTCTGGTGAGTGTATGGACAGGTCCCATGGAGAACTAACTCCTCAGAGTTACATACTGAAATTATATGCATTTGAATGTGTACTTAAATCTACTTGTTTCTAAATCTTTTAAGGTTAAGTGGGAGGAAATAAAGAAGTCTTGGATCCAGTTCTAGTAAAAACCTGGTGGGAGGCCTGATGCAGTCCTACGCTGAAGTTGCCCCCACCTCTGATCACCTCCTCCCAGAGCAGCGCAGGACTCTGCTTGGGGCATGAGCAGTGCATTGAGCAAGGCCACCAGCCTCGGCATTCCCGTCTCACAGTGGTGGACGCCCCTCGAAATGGGATTTAGGCCACCTGATTTCTAACTCTGACCCTGCAGCTAATTTCTCCTGTGGCCCACATGTCATAGCAGAAGATCTGACATATAATAAGCATCAAGAAGGGAGAGAGGAGGAGGGGAAGGAAGGGAGGAAGGAAGGAAGGAAGGAAGGGAGGGAGGAAGGAAGGAAGGAAGAGAGAGGGAGAGAGGGAGGGAGGGAAAGAAGGAGGGAGGGAAGTTCCCTTACCTTCTACACTGGCCCCAGCACTGGCCAGTATTGACTGAATTTGTGGGGCCCCAGAGAATAAAGCTGGGCTAGGAGCTGCCAGGAGGCAGATTTTGTCCTGACGTGAGTGATCTTCACTGACCGTTACAGCTGCCCAAGAAAAAAGACGGTTCATGAGGTAGTGAGTACCTTGTCACTAGAGGAATACAAGCAGAAGCTGATGGTTACTTGTCAAAGATGTCCTGAAAGTGATTCATATATAGATGGTAGGAGATTTTAATCACCCAGTATAATCTTGTCATTTTGTATTCAGATGAAGAAACTAAGCCTCAGAAAGTCATAGAGTCAGTTGGCCTCACCCACTTTTTGCCCAGTGCAGCTTTATTTACAAGTGGAAAAAAATTGAGAATAACCTAAAATATCCAATAATAGGGGACTGATTAAGTCAACTACAGGACACACACCTTGCCACCAATATGATGGTTCTGAACATATGTGGAAAAATCCAGGGGAAAATGCTTTTTAAGTTTTATCAGAGTGGCACAGAGGATATTCTATTTGGCGAAAAAGCAGGTTACAGAACAGCATGTACAGTATCTTCTCACTTTCGTAAAATAATAATAAAACAACATGTTAATGCATGCCCAGGGGAAAAATTGGCAGCAAACCACTAACACTGGTTACTTTTGTTTTGGATTTTTTTCAGGGGCTAACATTTTTTAAGCATTTACCACTGCTAGGCACTTAACGTGTGTGAACTCAGTTAATGACACTGGGAGATGGGAACTATTAGTCTTATATTACCAATGAGGAACTTGAGGTGCACAACAATTCAGCGATTTGCCCAGGTTTACAGGGCTGGTAAGTAGTAGCGCTGGGATTAAACCCAGGCAGTCTGACTTGTGCATCTGGGTGTTGAGCCACTTAACTCTATCCCAGATAACTCCTAAGTCTTCTTCCAATTCTAAAAGTCTAGGGATGTAGGATTCCAAGCCCTCGGCTACCTCAACAGTAAATAAGGGAGCAGGTGCCCCGACTCCGAGATGTCAGAGATCAGAGGTCTCCATTCCTTTTTATGGTCATCCGGTTCTGATTTCTGGCCTTTTCTGGCCATCAGCATTTCTTATGAACTGGGTATCCTAAGGAGGGCATCCCCTGTGTGGGGGAATAAATGAATGTGATCCCAGTTGGCCTGGGTCCTGTACCGGCTGCTTGTACGGACCTGATAAGGGACACCAGACATCAGACAGATGAACACAAGATGTCCAGTCACCAGCAGCCCCTGTGCCTGGAACCCCCAGATGGTCGTATTTTCCGGCTGACAAACTCAGTGTGAATGGCAACTGGTTCTACAGAACCCCAAGCCCCTGTATATCCTGATCCTGCCTCAGTGAGGGACTGGCTGCTTGACAAGGGGGCCAAGTTCCTCGCTAAACAGAGAGCTTTCATTAATAAAGGGAGATTCCCACCCCCCATGCAGTTGGCCTCTTTCAACAGATTTGTTCAAAGGGGAGTTTTCTTTCTCCTCCTCTGACTCGTGCAAAAGGCCCCTGTTTTCTGACAACACTTCCAGGTTGTAGGCAGATCTTAAAGGCAGGTCACCTGGAACAAAAAGCACATGGGATTTAGAGCAGCTATGTCATCAGACGAATAGAGTTAAATATTATTTGTTGAATCTAGGTGGGAGGCAAATGACTTTTCACTAAACAGGTCTTTCAACTTTTTTGTATATGTTTGAAATTTTTCATAATGAAACGCTGGGAAAAGAGCACTGTGCATCTGCTGCTCTCTCTGCCTGAACTAGTCCTCCCAACAGATACCACCAGGAGAATAGCGACTTTTGATTGTTTTATCTTCAGCATGTGGTGCTCAGTCCACAGTAGGCATTTAATAAATAGTTGTTGAATGAATAAGAGCTGCCATTTATGGAATGCCAAGCACCGGACCAAGGCTTTTGCATACATTATTTTGTTTATTCTTCCCCATCAAGGCTGTGAATATAGGCATCATCACTTCTGTTTTACAGATGAGGAAACTGCTGCTCAGAGAGATGATGTGAGTACCCAAAGTCCATGCAGTTAATAAATAGCAGAGTGGGATCCAACCCACATCCATCGATGCCACAGCTTGTGCCTTTAACTATACGATTCTGCCTTCCATTTACTAAACCATCCACAGTCACAATTTCGTTATGAGTCAGATAAGATGAGCTGCTCTGCTTTCCTCACAGGATTATTATACTCGTAAATGTAAAAATATGTAAGCATGCTTGGCACCTGTGTTATAGAAATGAAGGCGAGCAAGTGGTGTTGTGACTGCAGCATCCTGGTCTGGGTGACCAGGTGAAATGAATCAAATCAGGGAGACTTGTAGCTTTCACATGTAAGCATGAGTTTTCTGTAAAAACAGGACTCTATGAGAATACCCACCAAGCCTTCCTCACCTGAGTAAAGTGTTGTAAAACTCAGTCATGTGCAATGGCCAAGGAGGTAAATAGTTCCTCCATTATCTCTCACAAAAGCTTGACCACACCAAGGGTGTGATCCTGCTCTGGGCACACCTGGTGTGGCTAGGTCAATTATTCATTCACTTAACAAACACGAGCTTTGGAGTCAGGCAACCTGGGTTCAAATCCTAGCTCTGCTGTGTGACTGTGGGTAAGATGATCAATTTCTCTGTTTCTTCATCTGTAAAATGGAGAAAATCAGCGTCAGTCTTACAGGGTGCTTATGAGGATTAGATGAGGTAGTTTACATGAAGTGTCAGATGTGTAGAAAGTGTTCTAAAAATATTAATAATTATTATTGCACAAGCTTGGTATGTTTACTGTAGAAAACTGAAAATGCAGAGATGCATAAAGCTCACATAAAGCATCCATGATTTCAACATCTCCAAAAACCAGCTCTACTTCTTTGTGTATATATCCTCTCAGAATACTTCCTATTCATGTGAATTAATTTTTTCCCCTACAAAAATGGGATTATATAGCATACATTCTTTGGTAGCTTGATTTTTTCATGAACAGTATTTCATAAGCACTTTCCAAGCCAGGAAATTCTTTCTACAATGCTATATCATGCTAAGAGCACAGGATCTGACACCAGACTGCCTGAGTTTGAATCCTAGCTCTATCACTTACTGTGTGACCTTAGGCAAATGATTTCACTGCTCTGTGCCACAGTTTCCTCATCTGTAATATAGCGCCAGTAACAATCTCTACTTCACTGGGTTATTGTGAGAAATACATCAAAATGCATATAGTACTCAGAGCAGTGACTTCACACAGTAAGTGCTTATGTGTAGCATTCTCTATGCTACACTGATTTCTGTGGTAAGAATGTGTGATCATTTGCTGGACCAGCCTGTTTTGTAAGAGATCTGTGTTATTTCTATCTGGTTTCTGTTCTCAATACTACAAAGAATATGATCCATGAACAGGGTTATCTGGGGGATACAGGTACAAGTATCCGAGGTGGTCATCGCAGTGTCTGAACTTTTCTGAGACCACTGTGGATGGAATAGGAATGAAGCTTAAGGCAGTTTGCCAGATCCGTGTGGTGGGCTTGAGGGGATCAAAATTGCTAAAAGAGGTGGGAATGCAATTTCCTCATTTGTAAATCAGGGCGTGATAATGTCTCTCTAGACTCTCCTGAGCTATTCTGAGCTCAGTTGAAGCTTAAGTTCAAATCCCAGCCCCTTGCCCATCAGGAAGTCCTAGGAAGAGGGACAGACCTGAATTCCTACCTGTCCCTTAGTCTTTTGAACAAGGGCAAATGATTTGCCTTCTCTGTTTTACTCATCTGTAAAATGGCCACTGCTTCCCTCCCCTTGTTTCTGAGTGTTGGTGGAGGTGTGGGAAGCTGGGGGGCTCTGTAGTAACCAGCCTCATCTCAGCCCAGTTCTGAGCCCTTAGTGTCCCCAAGGGTCATTTCAGGGCTCAGAGAGAA